TGGGTAGGGCGGGGGAAGGAGAGGATTGCGAGTTAGCGAGTGACGTTGCGCTTCCGTTCCTCGGATTTACGTCATTTATTCGGCGCGCTGCTGGCTCCTCCCGCGCGGTCGAACTCCGGTTCCTGCTGTTCTGGAAACATACCAAAAGCGAAAACTCGCGTTACTGCGGATGCAAAGGCTTAAAATGCTTTCTGTTTCGGGGCTGGGCTGGGCTCGGGCGAGGGGGAGACGGTGAAGGGGTTAAGCGCAAGCCGCTAACAGATAGAGGTAGAATCGTGAAAGCGCAGGTCTACGCAATGCACAAGCACGCACGAGCAACGACGGACGTTTTTACCAGTGTCGAGATCGGCGGACGTCGCGATTCGAATCCGCCGAGAGAACATCGAGCAACGGGGGGGTCACGTTGCGACTGGTCGGTACACAGAGGGGATGAACTGAACGCGGGTCGCGAGCACGAGGACAAGCGCCGGATGAAGATAGCTTTTCCTCGCACTCCCGCTGCGTTCGCGTATCACGCGTCCATGATATATAAAATATTAAGTTCGTAACGTCGTAGAGGTCATCGACGTTGAAATTTTCTTGTGTTCTCGCGAAACAAATCCGTTCTAAGGGAATAATCACATCTTGGCAGAAAAACAAGAAACATAGACTTCAATGAAAAATCTTGCGCTAGTAGAAAAACTATTACTACTGATTAACACACGAGTTCTGATTGGCTACTGATTTTCTGCCAAAGTGTGAAATCTCTCTGAGAGTCGCACTTTCTTATAAATGGCGGACGATGTCCCAACTTTTACTTGAGAAAATCCGCTTAGTCGTAATGTAAATATCTGATTTGTGTGATACAAGAACAGGGGACACAACTAGAGGCTAGTGCAGCTAAAGAATATCGATGATAAAAGTATCCAACATTAAACACGCGCGTATGTGCCATCAGTATTATTAAAATGTCATAGATACCCTTAATCGACTGGGCGAGTTGCGTCGCAGCATCGGGGGTGAGACGCCGTATAATTTAATAATTCCAACCGTGAAAACTCGCAACGCGCCATAACTCTTCGCGATCTTCCGCGTACATTAGCCGGAGAAAAACTGTGTTTGCTTATGTGCAGCATAAACATCGAGCACGGACTGCTCGGTGAAGGAGAGCGGCGAAGAGGAGCGAAGGGAATACGGCAGGGGGAGGAAGAAGGAGATGGCGAGGGGAGACGGTCGTGCATTTTATGTACGACGTAGAGACAGTTAAGGCGAAGAAAAAGGCACGCGGACGGGCGGCCAGGACTGTAGTACAATTTTCCGTCGCGCGCAAGTAAGCCGCTTACGAAAAGCGGGCTCGAGTCGCCGTTTCTCATGTTACCTGGCGCGAGTTATGGCGACGTATGTGTGCGCGTCCGGCGCACACACCGGCGTAAGGGTCGCGACGCGCCGGCAAAGAAAAACGTTTCGAGCGAGATCGTTTGTTTTCACCGGGATTCCGCGCGTCCGTCGAGAATCGCTAAAATAACGTCGCGAGACCAAGATTCCGCGAAGTCTCGTCGTCACTCAGTGTCCAGCGTGATCATTGTGACGTGAGCGCCGCATCTCATTAGAAATTAATTCTCTTGAGGCGAAGGAGAGAGATACATATCGATACACAACACAATAAAATCGTATAAATATATTATCCTGCGCGCGTTGTTTCATTTATAATTGCACAGTGTAAAGAGAGAGAGAGACAGAAAATTAAAATGTTTCTGAAAACCGATTAATTAGTGATTAATTAACCGTGTACTCATATCTATAATTCCATCTGATTTCAACTTCACCGAGAAATTCTTTGATGAATCTGACCTCGATTGCTCACTCTGGAATAATTTTTCTTCTGCGGGGAAGATCTTTCAAATCGGGACAATATTACGTTTATTATTTTCAGAGTGCAAACAAACATTGTATAAACAATGATGTATTCGACAAATGTAAAAAATAGGTCACGTTAAATATCAGAAACGAGATCGACCCACCGCGATAACGCGAAACGTTACGCGTCAAAAATAATCCGAATAAACTGATAATATTAGGCTGTATAAAAGAGCGCATAAAAGAGTGATGTCAACAATCAAATGAATCTCAGTAAAAATTCAACAGCTGACAATTTAGAATTAGAAGAGAGGGATATGTCGCGAATAAGCTTGCCGTAAGCGAGAAATATGTGATAAATTGCCGTCTCCACGAAGAAATGTGCCGATTCAGCTTTAACCTTTATCTGACCACACAGAGTCGTTCCTTTATACATATATTTTTACGCAACTATCGGATTTATTTTGCTCGTTTGTCGGCAATTCATCTGAAATATTTCAATTCTCACTCGCCAGCAGTGTATCTTTATTAACCCGCAGTTATTCGTAATTCCGCAGCAGCATTAAACGTGCGCCGTTTTCACTCGCGCGTCTCGGCATACTTTTTATAATCATTTTATATGAGATTTTTATATGTAAACGTGTG